TCTCTTTTTTTAGTTTTGGGAGACAGGTTCTCACTCTGTGGCACAGGCTGGCCTTGAACTCTTGATCCTCCTTTCTCAACTTCCCAAGTGCTGGTATTACAGGTGTGAACCGCCATGCCCCGCAAAAATCTCAGAATTTCAACTTCAAGTTTCAATATGACCTTTCAAGTTGATTAAGTTCAAAATGAAGAGGATAATTTTCAAGAACCATGTGAAAAACATAAGGAAAGAAAATGACCAGACAGCAGGAAATCTTCATTAAGGCATTTTAATAGCAGCAGATAGCAACTGGACGGTCTTGTCAATACCACAATTAGATGACTTACTTAACCACTGTCAGCATTTACTCTGCTAAAGGAAAAGGAAGCCTACACTTAATTCAACCACTAATAAGCAGCCTTGAATCTGAAGGCTGGACTCGTAAAAGTCCCAGCAAAGAGCCAGCCTGCTACATCAGCAGCAGGGCGAGCCTTCAGAAGCTCCTGACTTGCTCGATCCTGAAGTGTCCACACTGATGCAGAGACACAAATTCTTCACATTTCCTACTTTCTCAAAGATGTTTTTCAATAATGGTCAACGTGGAACCTTTCAACCCAAGGTTCCTTCCTCCTCCATCATCCAATATGAGTTACAATGAATCTAGCTGCAACACTGTGTTTCTGTATGTTTCAGTTCCCCCACAATTATATTTAGACTATAAGTTTATAATAAAATGAATGGCATAGGTTAAGGAAAATTCAATTACTTAAATCCATAAAATTATTTTTTGGTCAAAGGAACAGAGTGAAAGATACCCAAAAGAACAATGCCAACCTCGCACGGAGCTAAGTGAAAACAGCCACTCCCCACCCACTTGAAGACATCTCTCACACAGCACGGTGACAACCTTAATGAGAATCAACAGAAGGAAAAAAATCTGGGGAAAGTAAGCCAACTTTGTATCTCTACCAGAACACACAAAAACCAAAATGTTGGGGCGGCGGGGACCCAGCCACAGGGGACAGGAGGAAGGAGAGTGAGGGGAGGTGTGTGTGATCAAAGTCAACGCGTTATGTATGTGTTTGAAATGCCAGAATGAAACCCATTAAAATCTTACAAAGTTGGGGGAGAAGAGAGGAGGGCAAGAAAGTACTGTAGATCAGGTATCTGATCAAAGTGCATGTATGTAAGTGTCACAATGAAACCCCTCTGCACAACTTATGCTAGTAAGTTTTGAAATAAAAAATCCAAAATGCTGAATGATTAGAACACAAACTCACCAGGATCTTTTCAGTAAGAGATCAGTGCCCCCAGACAGCAGAGGTAAACTTGCTTGCCGGGCGTTCTGAGATGTCACCAGGCAGAGTCACAGCAATGCACAGTTACCACTGCGCTCTACACGTGGGACTCAAAGGCACAGCATGGATGGCGGCTCCCAGAGGCTGGGGGCCGGGGGGAGGGCACGGGGAGAAAGGGACATGGGTCAAGGTTACAACACCTCGTTAGAAGGGAGGAATGGCTTTGCTGACGGACTGCACAGCACTGTGACCATGGTTAACAGCATGTTAATATACTTCAAAATTGCTAAGAGTGGATTTTAAATGTTCTTACCACAAAGAAGCAAGTGTGGGAGGTGACAGATATGTTAAGGGAAGAGCACAAACTGAAAACTCATCTCTCAAAAGATGGACAAGTGGCCGTCCGGACAGATTAGAACCAGATCCTTCATTTAATGACAAAAATTTGCTGAGCTAAGCTAGCTGCTGGGAACAGAAGTGCCGATGAGACACATGGCCCCTGCCCGCGTGGGGGAGAAGACTTCCACTAACCACAGCTGTGAGGAAGAAACTCAGGCGTCTGTGGGAAAGGCATACCCTACCCAGAGGGGAAGAAGGAATCAATCAGAGAAGGCTTCCTGGGGAGGTGAGCCTGGCCTCTCAGAAAAGAGGGAGCTGTCGAAAGAGAGAGGAGGACAGTCACAGGTAGAGGGAAGCACATGGTGCTTCCACAGAACATGCTGTGTGGCAGGGAAGGTGGCAGGGGAACCACAGAGAGGGCGGGAGGGTGACAGCGTCACATCTGCCTCAAAGATCATGGCTGAATGCAGGTGGCTGAGTGGGCAGGACAGGGGGAGAAGACAAGCCGAGTCTTGGCTTCAGAATGCTCCCCATCTGCATGTGTGACACACGGACCACTCAGCTGGCAGAGGTCCCTCTCAACACTTGTGCACTGCGCGCCCCTAAAGTCACAACAGGATCAGACACTTGCGCCTACGTAACCTCATCTGCACACATCACACTCACACGGCTGCTTACTCTCCAAAACTAACTCCATTTTTGGTTAAAAGAGGACTGCGCGACTCTATGTTGAGCTTTTTCTATAAAAAAATTACTTCACATAGCAGCAAAGAACATCTAGGCTGTCAGTTCTAATAAGGAGAATTCAGCAAGGCTGTGGACAAAAGCTGCATTTCTAGTCAAGAATAACTACAACAACGGAACTTTTAAAAGGACACAGTAAAAATAGTTACCTAGAAATAAATCTAAGATGTGCACAGAGAATACTTACAGGGTATTAAATACTACTGTGCTCAAGAGTTTAATTATATCAGTCCTGCCCAAATAAAATCAATGAAATTTTGACAAATACTCAGAGGGCTCTCTCTCTCTCTTTTTGGAGGCACTGGTGCTTGAACTCAGGGCCTCACGCTGGAGGTTCTCTATAGCTTGAGCTATGCCTCCAGTCCTTTTTGCTATAGTTATATTTATAGGTAGGGTCTCCAGTTTTTGCTGGCGGCTGGCCTTGCCCTGCAATTCTCCCTCGGAGCTGGGATTATCTAGTGAGACACTATATCTGACTTGTTTCTCGAGATGGGGTCTTTCTCTTTTTGCCCAGGCTGGCCTCAAACTGCAATTCTAATGCTCTCCACCACCTGAGTAGTTGAGATTACAGGGCTGTACCACCCCATCCAGCCCCAAAGAACTCTCCATTGAACTAGACACAGTAATCTTTAAGTGTTTAATCTAGAACCACAAAATCATAATGTTGAAAGAAAACAATTTGTTCAAGGAAACTCTAAGATCACTAAGTGGCATTTTCAAATGCACAAAATACTATTATGTATTCTCCTAACGTTCATGCATGTGATAACAGAATAAAATACCCATGGGTATGACAAACACCAAACTCAGAATGGCGGTAACTGCAGAGAGTGTGACCAGACACACCAATGGTTTCAGTCGCTGTGTTATCTTTTATTTCTTAAACTAGGTGGTGGATACAAAGGTGTTTGTAAATTATTCCCTAGCAGTCAAATTCTTTTTGTATGTCTCAAATATTCCACAAAACACAGAATGCTTTAGTTCTTTGACAGCCATGTTATCACACAATCTAGCTCGGTAGTTTCCGAACTCCAACCCAAGAGCTCTGACAGCAATGCCTGAAGTCCTTGCTAAAAACAACAGAGGACCAGCTGGCCGGGATCAGAACCAGGAAGGGCAGCCATGTGATTCCTATCCATGTCTGTGTTTGAAGCCCTTAGTGACCACGGCTATTAACGGCCAAGCCATCAACAAGACTGATCCCACTGCCTCCCTTTCCAAATGATCCACCTGTTACAATGTGGATTCTAACTTGAAGGCAAAACTCTACAAATTTAAGATAGAGTACTGTCTGTATCCTGAGAAGCTAAGGTTCTAGGGCTCCCCTCAATTACCATGATCTGTGGATCCTCAAGTCCCTTATATAAAATGGTGGAGTAGCTGTCAGGCACCAGTGGCTCACGCCTGTAATCCTAGCTACTTGGAAGGCTAAAATCAGAAGGTTTATGGTTTGAGAGACCCTCCGCCAGGGGCAAACACTTTGCAAGACCCTATCACTAAAATGACCAGAGCAAAATGGACTGGAGGTGTTGCTCAAGGGATAGAGCACTGACTTTGCAAGTTCAAAGCCCTAAGTTCAAACTTCAGTCCTATAAGAGAAAAAAAGTCCGGTATTTGCATCAACCTACATACCCCCTCCAGTATTCTTGAAATCATCTCTGAACTGCTGAAAATACCTAAAGCAAAGCAAATGCTATGTAAATAAGTGTTACACTCTACTGTTTGGAGAAGAAGTCTGTCCATGTTCAGTGCAGAGGACATTTTCTTTTTCTGAATCCCCAGTGGGTTCTATCCTGGATGCAGAATGTGCAAATGTGGAAACCATCTATACATCCTTTCTCATTACACCTCCTTAAAAGGTCCTATCTGAAAAGTGAGGGCTATCTTAGTAAATCGTAGTACCAAATGATTCTGCAGCAGAACACAGTTTCTTTGTATCCCCCACAGGGAAAATGCCACAGCAAAATTCCACGAGAGACCATAAAAGTGCTGTCCTTCAGCACAGAGTGGCGGACATCACGACTGCCCTCACAGTGTACATCCCTCAAGTAAGTACATGGCAAGCAACACCACACTTCCCTTGTGACACATTTCACAGCTAAATTTGTCCAGAACTGCATTAAAACTCAGAGGTATCAGTACTGCGGTGACAATGTTCACAGCCTGCCCTGAGAAGTAAAGCTAGCGAGAGAACCAAGCCCTCAATGTGTATGAAGCAGTCAAAGCTGCTGTGGTCTGTGCCTCAATGTCCCCCAAGTGCAGGAGGCTTGTTCTCCACAGTAGCACTACTGGGAGGTGGTAAAAAGTAAGAGGTGGCCTGGTGCGAGGTCTCCCCTTCATTGGTGGGGCATCCCTTTAAAAAAGATACTGGGACCCCAGCTCTTTCTTCTTCCTCTTTGGAGGTGAGCTTTGCTCTGCCAGGTGTTCTACACCACGATGTTTTGCCTCATCATAGGACCAAAAGCAATGGGGCAAAGAGACCATGGACTGAAACCTCCAACACTGTGAGCAAAATGAACATTTTCTCTTTGCAAGTTGACTAACTCAGACACTTACCACTGATGGATCGAGCACTGCATTCTCTCCCTCTTTCTCACCCACCCACACACACACATTCCTCCCCAAGTATCTTATCTTGCAATTACAGCTAAAACCAGAGCAGGATTCGTTGTGTCTTAACAACACAAGCCTGCTGTTGTCGCAGAAGTCCCTGGATGGGGGACGCACTCACCGGGGCTCTCTACTCGCTTGTAGTGGTAGGGGTTGATGCAGACCTCCTTCTGCTTGGAACCGAAAGGAAACTCACAGCACTCCAGTGGCTTCAGTTCATGGTGGCTCTGAAGGTCGGGCCAGCGCCACACCCGGCAGTAAATGACATGGGGCAATCCCTTCCTGTGGGACACCTGCAGCCGGCCGTCCAGAGAGCGGGGAATGGTGACACAGTTACTCGGCTGCCCCGGGCAGCTCAGCGCCTTCTCCAGCTCCTCCATAGCCCCTTTCTTTTTCTTCAGTTTTTTCACCAAAGCATCAACAGCTTTCTCTGCCCATTTTTCTTCTTCGTCACCCTGCTTCCACCCAAGAAGTCTCTTCACTGCTGGACTTGTGAAGGAAAACAAGCTTGTCACATTCATAGTGATGACAGTAGTTTACAGTCCTCCAGTGGTGTAGCTCAGGAGGCTCCAGACACAAAGGGACAGAAGAGGTCTCAGCTATTTACATAGGATTCTCCTCAGCTTCTCGGTTTGCAGTCCTGGAAAGTAGAAATGACCATTCCTAGTGCTCTGAGAAGTAAGCCAAAGTCAGCACCTAGAAAAGCAAACCGGGAAGAAAGTTCAGAATCACCTCCACCACCATAACACAGCAAATTAACTGCTCTGTGTTGGTACTGTTCTAAGTACTTTCTGTAGAGATGGTTCTGGGCTATGACCATTTGGCTTTACAATTTATGACTTCACGAAGGGTTTACTGGGAGTCAACCCCATCCTAAGCGAAGGAGCATCTGTGTTACACTATGGTGTAGACTGAGTTGTGTCCCCCTAAAATTCATAGATTGAAGCCCTTGCTCTCCAACCCACCCCACAACAGTGTGGCTATATTTGGACATGGAGCCCTAAGGAGGAGATAAGGGTTAAATGAGGTCATGAAGGTGGGGCGCTAATCCAATAGGTGGTCTTTTAAGAGGAGAGATTACCCACACCAGCACCCATGCACTGATGAAAGGTTGCATGACTATAGCGAAAAGCCAGCACAGCTACCACTGAGACAGTAAGACTTCAAAGCAAGAAGCATCTTCAGGGGCTAAGACGTGATCCGCCATGCAGGCATCACAATCTCAAATCTTTATACCAGTGATAACTGTCTCAACACATAAAGCAGACTAGAAGAACTGAAATGACAGCCAAATCCACAATCCTAGTGGGAGATTAACATACTAACTGACAAACACAAATTGACAGAAAAAGAAGAGTAACATGTTTAAAAACCACATTTATGCACATCATAGTGCACCCAACAATTACAGAATATATTCTTTCAAATACACATGGAATACTTACCCAATAAAAATGATATATCAAAAACTGTAAGATATGGCTTAAATGCATACATTACAAAAGAAAAAAAAGCTGAAAATTAATGCTCTTTGTATCCACCACAGGGGGCAGGATGGGGTGGGGGGAAGAACAGCAAATTAAACCAAAAGAAGGGAGAAAAATTTTTTGAAAACTATTCTAGAGAAAACCTATAGAAAGCTGGTTCTTTGAAAATACTGGTAAAATTGGACAAACCCTTAGCAAGACTGATCAATAAAAAAGAGAAGGCGTAAGTCACCAATAACAGGAATAAAATAAGGGAAATCATTACTGATCCTCAAACTTAAAAAAGAGAATGAGTGGCTGTCCAAATGCACAGGTGCACTGTGCTAATCTGTGGGTCTGTCTTCCTCAGCAGAGGGAAATGACTGAGAGTTCCATCTCGTTCTAGTCCTACCTTTGGAGCCTCGAATGGCACCTGGTACAGCACGTTATCAGTGAGTGTTTTATGAATGACCTGGCTCCCTGAAGAACTTGACAGGCAGAGTAGAAGCCCATCTTTATGCAGGAGGCTATAGGGAGTCAGTTGTTTAATTTTTTAAAAAAGCTTCACCCAAATTTACTAGTTATTTTGAAGTTATTTTCATTTATCAGAAAAAAACAAAACTATGCTATTATCAAAAGTCATACTTGGTCACGGTGTACCTGATTGATATGATAATTTATTTTTCGCTAAACATTAGTTATGCAAAAGAACAGGAAATACAACTTCTTTCTAGGCCTCAGTAACATTTTACAGAGGGACCATATCTCTTCCAGGTCTAGAAGTCATTTCCTTCTACTCCAAAAACAGCCTCTTAGCATTTTAACCAATGATTTTCAAATAGGAGCACATTTAGACCCAAATCACTTGGGGCTGTTGCAAGCTGATGGGAGTTTGCCATAGTGAGGGAGTGTGTTGTGGGTCACGTGTAAGAACCACCATTTCAGATCGTTCAGATGCCACCCAGTCACCACGCTGCATGTGGCGCCCAGGACTGCGCTAGACCCGGCATCCTGAGGGAGCTCATGATTTAACTGGGAACCGGAGTGTACATAAATCCTCACAGAGCCAATCACTAACATGCACGTGATCCCTAAGTGACGGTGCTGAGACATCTTGTGAGGCCATGTCTAGAACCCTGGCCAGAAGGAACGCAGTGATTGTACCAAGGTTGACCCTGGGCCCAGGGCACGGGGACAGAAGGGACTCATGTGCTATGCATTTGAACACCACTAAGACCAACTGTAATACAACGTGAGAAGAGCCACAGAACACACAGAACAACAGTATGTCTGCATGTTTATGGACCCCAACTCCCACCATGAAATCCTAGCTCCCACATGACAGCACCGGGAGGTGGGGCCTTTGGGAGGTGATTAGGTCATGAGGGCACAGGCCTCAGGCGTGGGGTCATGGGGCAACTGCCTTTACACCAGGTTGAATATAATACGGTATATAAATGTAGAAAAGGAGGGAACAATTAATTCTGGGAATTTCAGGGAGTTTTTCCGGAGAGGAAAATCAGACAGGCCTTAAAAGATGAGTACAACTTTGCAAAAACAACAGAGCTCTGAGCACTTGACATCTATTAGCCAGATTAATCTTACCAACAAACTCTCTGAAGACTATTATTTCTCTCATTTACCAGGTAAAGAAAGTGAAATATTGATAAGCATCATGTTCAAAGCTATGTAAACATCTTGTTCTAAGTTACATACACGTGTGTAAGTGGCAGAGCCAAGATTTGAACCCATTCTCTACGAGTCTCTGTAGTCCCTACGAGTCTAGAGACTGGGTTCTTAAACCACTTTTCTAAACTGCTAGTTGTGACAGACGCGACAGACATGATCGGGTTTAGTAAGAGTGGGACAGACAGAGGCTGCCGTGAAGGGCCGTGACGTCCTTATCCCGTGGACAGAAGGTGGTAAATCGGAGCACGGACGTGACAGGACCTGTTCCGTGAAGGCGGCTTAGGCAGGAGCTTCATGGAGGAGGACTTCTCCACTCAGGGAGGAAAAACAACATGCAGAGAGCTGCTGACTCCAAACCCGCAAGGGCCATGTGGACAGTCAACGTCCTGACTCTCCAACATCAAAGGGAAAGGATCACAAGCCCCAAACAGGCACGGACAGAACAAAATGCAGGCTGATGACTAATCCTTGCTTACCTGAGTTAAGTGTATTATATATCCAAGTCAAACATGTAACCTACCTCACGTAAGGGGAACCCAGAAGAGTCCATGACGCTATGGCCTTGGCAAGACAGCTGGATTTTTTTCCTGCCCCTTTCTGTACTTCCTGCCTTAGTTTATGTCAAAAGCTAAGTGGCCTTATCAGTTTAAAGTGCAAAATAAAAACACGAGTCAGCAAACAGAGACTTCCTTCCCGCTTGTCTAAATACAAACACCTAGCACTGACAAAAAAAAAAAAACAAAAAACAACCAAACAAAAAACCACATCTAATAATGACCTCCCCACACCCCAAAAGCAGCCTTAGGGGATAGCAGGATCTGTTCTAGCCACTTCACTTTTAGGAATGAATTTTGAGAAAGAAAAAGTTTTACACAAAGATCTTCATCAGAGAATTATTTATAAAAGAAAAAGGAAAAGCATCTAACAATGGGAAAATAGTTAAGCAAATGATATACCTCACTCAAATACAAAGCAGCCCTTAAATTATGGGAAAATCCTAAGCAGAATGTAAAAATGGCACATATACAGAATGAACAGATATAAATACACCAAAACATTAAAAGTGACTGGGCTTGGAAGATTCCTAATATCTGATGTACTTTCCAAACACTGTAAAAGAAGTTTTAAAAAGCCCTTCTAAATGTGTATGGGAACTGGTGGGGAGGAGGCCAGCGGGAGGGGAGAGGGAAAGAAAAAGATCCTGAGGGGTGAAGAGGATGGAAGTACCCTGTACATGCACACAGGGGACGGCATGATGAAACCACCAAACTGGGAAGGGTGGAGGGAGCATAATGGGGGGGTGAACTTGTCCAAGGTACACTGTGCACATGCATGGAAGGAATTACCACAATGAAACCCCTTGTATTATTATCAATATATGATAATTCAAAACAAATTTAAAAGCCTTCCTATACAAATATTTGCTAATTACAAAAAAAAAAAAAACAAAAAACAAAAAACCAAACAAACAAAAAAACACTTCACCAAACACCAACTCAATTCCTGGGCTGGAGGACTCGAGCCACACACATACTCCACACTGAAGTCACACTGGATTTATGGTGTGATCGAGTCCTGGAAGTGACAAAAGTGTGCTTAAAACAGAACTCTACATCCAGATGCTTTTCCTATGGCGTCCCACCCACGGGAAGGATGTCTACTAATACTGCCAGAAGTCAAATAAGACACTATAATACTCTACTTTAAATGGCTATTTAATTTCGAAAGCTACATGGTATTGTTAAAAGGAAAAAGAGCAGAAATTTAAAAAATACTGTTGTGTAACTTACTTTATATTTAAAAGATCACAATGGACATTTTCTTCATCTCGTAAAGAAACACATAATTATCTAACGGGGTGAATATCAATAAATCTGCTCTCTGCCACTTACTACGTTACAGATCCCAGATTCCCACAGGAAACTTGAAGAGAAAATTATTCTAACTTGTATCCGAAAATACAGCTGGTCTTCCTCCACATCCACAGGTTCTGTGTCTATGGATTCAACCAATAACTGATGGAAAATATTAAAAACAAAAAACAAACAAAAAAACCTACCTGTACTGAACACTTATACATTCTCTAAACAATACAGAATAACTATGTGCGCAGCATTTGCGTTGAGTTAGCTATTATAAATAATCTAGAGATGGTTTAAAGTGTACAAGATGTGCACAGCTTGTATGAACATTCTGTGCCATTTTACATGAGGGGCTTAAGCACCTGAAGATTTTGGTAACCTCGGGGTTTTGGATCAATCCCTACAGGACAAAGCAAAAGGAGACAAGTAATGACCGACCACTCTCTGCTTCAGCCTCAGACTGGAGGCTGTTTATCATCTTTACCTTGCCATGGAAACCAGTGGACTGGACAGAATGAACAATCCCATCAACCATGGAGGAAATAAACTATCCAATATGTGCAGCCCCAAAAGTGAGTGGAGGAAAACAAATCAAAGCCTCATAGGACCTTGAAAAAGTAACTGACAGAGATAAATGGTCTATTGTCAATGAGACAAGGGACTCTCCCTGCCCCCACACACCTATGCCTTGGTTCATTATTCTGTCTTAACTAGTGGTAAAATACCATAGCACAGAGATGAAAAGAACTGAGGAACTAAAAGTACAGGGTACTGATTAACTTTACTCTGAAACTGTTTAACACCTGGATAGGTTACTTGAGAAAAAAGGAGAACTTTGTAAAATTTTGTTTGATCCATTTTTTTCTTTTTTTTTAAGGAAACAAGTATTTTCAA